ATTAAAAAATAAAGATTCTTAAAATAATCTTGGAGTAGAAAAAGCCCTTCTCAGCAAGAGAAAAACTACAAAAGCCTTAAAGGCAAATGATAGACAGATTTGACTTCCAAAGAATAAAAAATTTGGGAGTGAGTGACAAGTATCACCGCAAATTCAGTTAAAACAGAAGCAACAAAGGTGGAGGAAAATATATGCAACATATTTAAGAGATAAAGGATTAATGCTGTCTATCTATACATACAATGTTTTATAAGTCATTCTGTGTTATTCTTTTTCAAATCTATTTGATCAGTTTTAAAATATCTTGCCTCTTAATTATACTTTTGATATCCTTATTTCTTTAAATGTATCAAACAAACTTATTTTATATTCTGAATCTGATGGTTCTAGTAGTATCTGCAGTCTTTGCCGTTCTAATGTTGGTATACTTCATTGTTTATGCTAACACTTGCTCATGGCAGATTGTTTCATGGTGTTTTGATTGTGTGTTCATGTCCATGGAAACCTTATTATGTATGAGCTTTTTGAAAGTTGCTTTTAAGGTTTTTTTTTTTCCTGGAAGTTGGCTTTTACTAACCTAAATGCCTGAGAGCATTCACTACCCGAGAGTCACTTTGAACAATATTTAGGTGTGATGAGGTTTTCTTGTGTTACATAGGCATGTAGATTCTGGTTCTAACCCTGCCTAAGGGTTGAGCTTGCAATTTGCAATTCTCAAGGAAGGTATTTTCCCTCCTTTACTGCCTGCTACTATGTAAGTGGCTTTCCCTTAAATAGTCTTGCAAATCTGATCATGTCACCTGTCCTACTTAAAAACGTATAGATCCACTCATATGGATCTATTTGTTGGGCCTTAGCTTAAACATTACTTCCTTACGAATGCCTCCTCTTTCATGCTCTTACAGCAACTTGTACTTCTCCCATAGGCATTAATAACAATTATAATTAATATTTGTGTAACTATATTTCATTGAAATAGTAAATTTCTTCATCACTGAAGAAATTTCATATCAATCACTTTCACTGCTATATCTTCAACATCTAACTTGGGGTCTAGGGCATATTTGTTCAATAAATAAGAAATATGGGGCACCTGAATGACTCAGTCCATTAAGCATCTGACTCTAAATTTCAGCTCAGGTTATGATCTTACAGTCATGGGATTGAGTCCCGCATCAGGCTCATGCTGTTGAGGTGGAGTCTGCTTGGGATTCTCTCTCTCCCTTTCTCTGCCCCTTCCACTCTCATGCTTGTGCTCTCTCTCACTCTCAAAATAAATAAATAAGCTTTAAATAAATAAATAAGAAATAAACAAATTAACACTTTGGGGAATATTATATAATGGAGAAAACTAGCTCCCAGCTCTGTCATGTTCTATCCCTTAAATGTCTCTAAGTCTCAGTTGCTCACTTGTAAAATAGAATTAGTAACATTTCCCTCATGGAATTGTTATGAGAGTTACAAATGATATATTTAAAGAACTACAAAATGGCCCCTGGCAATGATAGATGCTTAATGAGTGGTAGCTTTTATTATTTTTTGTCAGCTATGTCTAAGTTCTTGGGAATTGTGCCAACCAGTTGTTTTGAGCATACTCATATATAGACATTTCAAATAGGGAGTAATTTAAAGAGCTTTTAGCTCATAATGAATCACTGCATCAATACGATAATTAATGGATTATTCCAGAAATTGGATTTTAAAATAATATAGACTTAAAACTTGATAATATTGCTTTAAAAAATGAGTCAGCATGGTGGTTTCCTAGGTGCATACATATGTCAAAATTTATTAAGTTGTACACTTTAAATATGTACAATTCATTATATGTCAGTTATCCCACAAGAATATTTTTTATTTTTTAAATAAAGAAAAAATTAAGACATCAATAACAAGTAGAATGAAATACATGTAATAGCTCTATTATTTAGGGTGAAGTTTGATTCATTCAGTTGTTTTTTTTTTTAACCAAAGGATCTGTATCTATTATTTGGCTTCAATTTGAGGACAATTTAATTGCTTCTCACATAGTTCTTTTTTTTTTACATTGAAATTTGTACTATAATTTGACAAATGTCAGTGCTGAAACTCCACTCCTCAAATGTAAATCTTTGCTGAAAGTTAATCTTGCTTTAACAGTACAAAAGGAAACTTATCTCCATTTCAGAGTTGACAGTTTTAAAAATATTTATAACAATGCCTTGAAAAATATGCATAATTGCCAATTAAAATTTTTTTTAATGTTTATTTTTGAGAGACAGAATGTGAGTGTGGGGGAGGGACAGAGAGAGAGAGGGAGACACAGAATCTGAAATAGGCTCCAGGCTCTGAACTGTCAGCACAGAGCCCAATGCATAGCTCGAACTCGGGAACAGCAAGATCATGACCTCCGCTGAATTTGGATACTTAACTGACTGAGCCACCCATGTGCCTCAATGCCAATTTTTTTTAAGCTGGCATCCTTCACAGATATGACTGATGAACTTGGGCCTCTTTTTGAAGAGTGACTAAGTATACAGTCAGTGAATCGTATTCACACATTCAACAGTCTCTATTTCTGCTGCTGTTAGGGCAGCAACAATTGTTGTATCACTTATTTATTAACACCCATGCAGTACACCATAACTTTGTGTTAATGGTATTATTGGAAGACCTGTGGATAAAACCCCAGAACAGAAATCTGAAAGGTGAGCAAGAGCTGGTGTGAGTCAGCTGGGAGGTGATGCTTCTGTGAATTTGGTGAACAACTATGAGATAGAGTGTTTTGGTTTGTCTTTCCCCAAAGCAGGTCCTGAGACAAGAACATGGGATGCAGGTAGTTTATATAGGAAGTGATCTCAGGAAGCACAAGTGAGGAAGTGGAAAAGTAGACAGGAAAGAGAGAAATGCCAACAAAGGGTGATGAATAAGTGAGTTGTTGCTGTGTGAAACTGGGGCACAATCTCACTGGGGACCCTCTGAGGAGTCATTTGAACAAGCTTCAAAATTACCACACCAAGGGGCACCTGGGTGGCTCAGACAGTTAAGTGTCAGACTCTTGATTTCAGCTCAGGTCATGATCTCACAGTTCATGAGATCAAGCCCCATGGTGGGCTCTGCACTGGCAGTGGGAGCCTGCTTGGGTTTCTCTCTCTCCCTTTCTCTGCCCACATCCCTCCCTCACCTCTCAAAATAAATAAATAAACTTAAAAATTTTATCCCACCAAGGAATAGGGAAGCTATAGTATTTATCTGCAGATTCGTGTCTTCATTGTTTGAAGGATGCCCTGGAAAATAGGGGCACTAATTACACACACACACACACACACACACACACACAGTCACTCATGGACAGAGCAAGCTCTTGTAGGCTAATGAAAGTCTTCAGAGACACCAGTAAGATGCCATCCATTGAAATAGAAAGCTGGCTATATGTATGGAAACTGCCCACTGTACGTGTCAGTAAACTCAGAGGTTGGATGAGGGAGTATGAGCTAGGATTTCAATGTTATCTGCTACATGGAGGGTTTGGGATCTTGATGTGATAAAATATCAACACTAGCTGTTGAGAAATGTATAGCAGCATGGTTAAGCAATGGATTTATAAATTCTGAAGGAGAAATTTCCTTTTACCATTTTTCCAGAGTGAAATAAAATTGCTGATCACAATAAAATTGCACAATTAGCTGGTCAATTCAATAGACTTTTCAGTTGTTTTGTATCCTGTAGATGTGTGGTCCAGCAGCATTAGCATCATCTGGAAATCTGTTAAGAATGCAGATTCCCAGGCCAAACCACAACTCTATTGAATCAGAACCTTTGGACATGGGACCCAGAAATCTGTGACAAGCCCTGTAAGTGATCCTGATACACACTTATGTTGGGGAACTTCAGATGGAGACAAAACACTCTACTGAGAGACTTAACTTTTATCCCAATCACAGGATCCCATGCCCCTGAGTGTAGAGAGAACTGTCTGGTTTCTGATCTAACCTGAGTGTGGAAATGGACAGATTATGTGATCTTTATTGGTCTTTTCCAATATGTAAAATTAGAAGTTTGGATTAGTATAGTAGGGTTTCAAAAATTTTTTCTAAGCAGTGGAATACATTCTTACAAACAAATGTTACTTGAAACATCAGTATATGAGACATGAAAACAGATGTCCTTGATTGGGATTTTAGCCTAGTATCCTGTCTTATCATGTTCCCTATGGTGGCTTCCTAAACATCACTATGGACTTTTGGGGTTCTAAGAGGTATAGTTTGAGAACCACAGCAATTAGAAGACCCTTCACAGGCCCTCTATTATGTGATCTAAGACATCAGGCAGACTTAACCACAGTTTACCTGATGATGATAGCTCTGAGGCAGAGCTGTGATCACAAGCCTTGGATTCAAAGCCTGGCTGATTCCCTACCATCAGGGTGACCATGAACAAGTCATGTAGCACCCATGGTATCCTCATTTATAACATGAAGTTAACTCTAATTCTTGTTATATCTGCTATTCAGGGCTGTTGACAGGATCAAATGAAATCATGTATGTGAATATACTTTATAACTTGCTAAGTCCTGTCTAATTGGAAGGGATTTTTGTGGGAGAAATTATCCTTCTAGGTAGTTTTCTTTTGTAACTGGTGCCAGAGATAAGTAGAGACAGAGAGTGTAGATAGTGAAATAGTCTGTAGTGTCTTCTTTATCTTCCAGGGATGCAAATGTAATTTTCCTTTTTAATTAAAACCCGTTTACCAGGAAGTATCACTTTAAATAGAATGAAGCTAAAGCAGAGACTTGACTTAACCTGTTGACTCACTCTACAAAGCTTATAAAAATAATGTTTGAGGTAATATTATCTAAAAAGATAATTAGTTTTTCTTAACAATTTACTGCCCACATACTAATAGGGTGATCCAATTTTAAAATATGTTGACCTAGCCTTTGTAGCTCCTTGCATATTCAGAAAAATTTTAGTGTAACATTACTTCAGATTTATTTGCCTTTTGTTTTTTTTTTTTGTTAGATGGGTATTCCAGGAGAGATTCATGCATCCACCAAAGAAATGCCTGATATATACCAGGTAGAATGTTTTATGTCTGTATTTTGTCATTGGTGAAGTCTTCAATCATTTCTCGTGGAACATTTGGAAGATTATCTTCTAGTAATATCAAATATGGTTACTGGAGTTTGAAGGTAGTCAGATTTAAGACCTTTTGTTTTCCAGGCCCTCAGTGTAGCAGGTCAGGATGATTTCTGTAAACTGTCATTATAAGAAACAGATATCTGCCAATAACTCTGTATGGCCACTTTGAAGGCTGCTATCACATGGACCTACCAACATCTTCTAAGGGTATCTCACTTTGCATGTCCTTCCAATTTTCCCCATTACTTGGATATTCATCTTACATTGTTGTACACCAGTCAGAACTCCCTGAGAAGGAATCAACATGGACTGGAAACGGATTTGCTCACAACCACCCCATATTCAGGTGAAGGGCCGGTCAGCATTTCTGCACCTTTGAGCTGCCCTGGGGCAAGGCTCCAGCAAGGATGCTCATTCACTTATTCACAAAAGAGACCTATAGCACTTAGTGCTGATTAGACACAGTGCTGGGGACAGTGAACAGAGCAAACAGGCCTTTGCTGGGATCTACAGGTTACTGAGGAGTCCGGCAGACAGGAGTGGGGTGGGAAGACAAGGAGCCATGGAGAAAAGCAGAGTGTTTCAAGCAGAAAGAATAGTATGTAGAAAGGCCCAAAAGAGAGAACATGGCATGTTCTGAGGACTAAAGAAAATCCACAATGGCCAAACCATAGGGAGTCACATGGGTAGTGAGATGAGCCAGTGCCAGGTCAAGGAAGATCTTGTCCACATGGGCCCCCTCTTTTCATTCATCAGTAGAACTGGTGTAGAGAAATGCTTCTCAAACTGCCCTTTGGAAACAAGGGGGTATCTAGGAGTCTCAGAGGGCCTTGGCGTGTAGGGGGTGGAAGGGAATGGCTCTGGACTCAAGTTTCTGCTTCAGTAACAGCAGCTTCAGTAATATCATTTCAAATGTTGAGGGTCCAACTGTGTTAGGAAATAGAGTTCCATGATTTAAAAATGATTGAAAACCACCAGGTCCCGTCTAGCTCTGGCATCTTTGCTGTGCCCCTTGAAAGAATGGTATCCAGGTTCCTAGTGGTGTGGCATATTGCCTCCAGAAGAGTGGCCCATTCCTTGCTGAAAACATATAGGATTCTGGTGTGGGCAAAAGGTTCTGGGATTTCCTGTTCTTTTTCTTTTTTTTATAGAACTTTCAAAAACAGTCCCTGGGATTTCCACGTTCCCACCTTGACTGATGTCTCTTTATGTCAGCAGGACAGAGGAACCATCTAGCAAGCCTTTTATCTGGCTTCATAAGAAACACGTGTGTTGTAATGCTGAGTCCCCCTCAGACTACACCCACACAGCTATAAAGACACATCTACCTACATGTGAAAGAAGGTGAGCCTGAGAATGAGGACCAACTTCTCCTAAAATGTGAACTCACTCCCTGTCTTACTCATAAGTGGCAATGTAAGTACTGGTTGAATCGTCTGCTTTCTTTTTCTTCTAGACTTTTATTCTCTAGACTCTGGTGCTCCATTCCAGCATAATCTGTTTTAGCTTCTCACTCACTTGAGTCCCCTGGACTTGGCTTCTTGCCTCCTTGACCTCTACACGTTGCCCTTGAGTGAGTCCAGGCTGAGGCTCTGAAAATCCAACCTTTGCTCACATTTCCATGGAATCTATACGCTATCCCTGCCTGGCCAGATTGGGGTCCCAGCTCCTCTGATGCACAGCAGCCAGGCCATCTGCTCAAACCCTGAGAGATCATGGTTACAATTTAAGGAATCAGTTTGGACACTTCCTGAGAGCCCCTGCCCTCCCTGTCTACTCCCAGCTGGAGCCACCAGGAGACTCAGGCCTCCTCATTCAGCCAATCATGACTGAGCAGTGCTTCTCAAAGTTTAATGTGCAGAGAGATCACCTGGGGATCAGGTGATATTCTGACATTTGGGTCTGGGGTGGGGTGGGATCCTGCATTTCTAAGAAGTTCCCAAGTCATGTCAATGGTTCATGAACTTTACTTTGCATAGTAACATGAGAATGTGTAGACTGTTAACCTCAACCTCACCTGGAGATAGGTCCAGGAATGCAATTTTTCCCCTCATTTATTAGCAAACATTAGTTAAACGCTTTCTCTGTCTTCATGGTCATTGCTACGCTGGTAAGATCCCTTCTTTGCTTTCAAGGAACTGACAGACTAATAGTTTAAAAGCCTATATATTTGGGACCTATATACTTTATAAAGCTTAATTCTCACAACATCCCTATGGGATTAGTATTATTCCTGTCTTCTACATGAGGAAACTGAGCCTTAGAGAAGTTAAGAAGCTTGTCAAAGTTGTGCTAATGGGAAATGACAGCCCGGATTCCAGCTCACAGCTCTGGCTCTGAGCCTTTGTGCTTTCTGGGATATCTCAAGCATCTCTTCCTTAATCTTCTTTGTTGCCAGAATCCTTACAGTTGGGCCTCTGGTTCAATTTCCTTGCCTAACACTCTAGTTTCTGGCCTTCTGGCTTACTTAGGCTGAGCCCTGCTCCAAACCCCCGCCAGCTTGGCTAGTGATCCTGTATCCAACTCTTTCCAGTCCCTCCTCACTTGCTTATCTCCTAGTTGGGATTCTGCTACAGATAGTCCAGTTGTCTGGAAACACAAAGCATTGTTCCATGTTGCAAAACAGCTTCTAGGAACTAGAATGTTTCCTTTCCTCTATAACTCACCCCTCATGGTTCTTTGAAGTTTCACAGCAGGCATCAGGCACTTCCTAAAGTAAATAAGCTACATAATAGGCACAGTGAAGAAAGAAGGAAGAGGCACTAATTTATGCAAACTTCATTTTCAGACCTTTAAGCCCTGGGCAGTATTCCTAATGGGCTAGGTGTCCTTTCCCTAGGGGTGGATGTGGCAGCTAGTAGAGCTGTGATTTGACTCATCCCAAATCCTGTCCCTACTCTGCCAGGCTCTCCTGAGGCTCTGGGGAGAGCAGAATGAGTGGGGTAGAGTCTGGGCAGTTGTCTGCAGGGGATGGATGTCACATAGATCACAGAAGCCCTGGCCTGTGGTCATGGCTTTGACTTTTCCTAGGGCTCCCCACTCCCTCCCCACCTGCCCTTCTTAGGGTCAACTTTAAGCAAGGAGCTTACTTCCTACTGGCTCATTTACTCCCATTTAATTACCCAGGGAAGGGGGGAGTATAAATATTTGCTATGGCTTCAACTGTTTCATCTTATTTAGAGTGGCAGAATTTAGCAAGAATTAGGAATTAAATCGCATCATTGCCAGTTTTCACTGACCAAAGCAACATTTTCACTGTTACTCAGTGTAATCCATTCTACCCCAAGACGCTATGACTTTAGGTGAGAAATCTTTACCAGAATTTTGTAAGCCATTCCCCATGCTCAGACTGACACTTTTGATGATCATAAGCCAGATTTTAGGCACTCTTCTGTAGGCCTTATTTTAAGTGACATCTGTTACTTGTTTAAGTGCTCCTTCCCTCTACCCACATACCCAGCAGATGGCAATTCCTGTCCGACCCAAGCCCAAGTTTGTCATGGACCTTCTGACTGCATGTAGCTGGGTCATCTTACCCTGACACTGCGAGACAACTCTAACCACACCTCAGCAGCATCTCTGTTTGCCAACCAAACTCCTTCTGCCCTTGCCCCCAGTCATACAAAATGTGAACATGTTCACGGTCAGCAGTGTGGTGTGGTAGCTTGCGGTTTCCTTTAATTCAAAGCTCAGGTCCCCCTCAGGTTTTGCCATGGTTTCTGTGCAAGTCCCAGAGTCCTTTTTTGTTTACTCTGCGCATGCAGATGGCAGACAGAACTTCAGCCTGACTAACCACAGCATCCTGTCATCAGAATGGAGAGTTTGCCTGCATCTTGAAAACTTTTGAGTATTATTTGATCTAGTGCCCTAAAAAGTAATCCACAGTAAAATTTCAAAGCTTTGCATCAATATTTTCCTTTGGGGACTCCAAATGCCATCATTTTTACCTATAATGTTGACTGTAATTTTTGGCCATATTCAGGCAGTCTTTGTTGCAAATTCTTTTTAAACCACTGACAAATTCTTAGTAGCATGGATTATATTGACCAAAGATTAGTTTGGAAATTTAATAAAAAGAAAAAATAAATTTTAAAGTCTCTAAAACCTGATTTAGGTGTATTTTTACCTTCTCTCAAATCTATGTGCTATTTCTTATCGTAGAAAATGTTACATGAACTTAGTATAGAGTATGTCTGATTAAAAACTATACATACTGATAGCTTATAGCCTATATTCTTTTGTGAATACCGGCAGACAACAAGTGCTTGGCACTCTATTTAAAGTTACTGCCACAACATGGAGTGTACTCTAGGATACCAAATATTTTCTGATCATTCATCAGTTATTCAGTTATTCAACTAACATATACCTAGTGCTTACTACATGCCAAAAATTGTTCTGGATTTTAGGCCTTAAAATGCTGAAGAAGTGGGGTGCCTGAGTGGCTCATTTGTTAGGCATCTGTCCCTTGATTTCGTCTCAGATTGTGATCTCACAGTTGTGAGATTGAGCTCTGAATAGGTTCCTCACTGGGCTTGGAGCCCCCTTGGGATTCTCCCTCTGTCTTTCTCTGTCCCTACCCCACTTGTGCTCAGAGTGTGTGTGCATGCACAAGCGTGTGCACTCTCTCTCTTTCTCTCTCTCTCTCCAAATAAAAAAACTTTAAAAAGTGATGAAGAAGATAGACAACATTTCTGCCTGCATGAAGTTATATCCTAGTGGTGGCTCAAATGTTTGTTAATTGGATAAGTAAATGAAAGAATGTGGGTGGAGTGAGGGAGGATGCTGGGGTCGGGCTGGATGGTGATCAGAGCACCCAGCAATTCCTGATAGTTCTCGAGGGCTTAGACAGAGCCAGGAGGAAGTCAGTTCCAGGTCTGAACCAGCTTAGTGACCTTGCCCAGTCTCTTACAGATCCTATAAGAAGACCTGCCCCATGTTCAAATGCATGGGAAGTCAGTGCTGCTTTCGTCTCCATCCTCTCTTCTCCACCCACTTGCTCCTTAATGTTGGCTCTGGTTATAGCCTCCCTGCATCATTTGCTCAATTTTCTGGGCCTTTTATAAATCTGATTTCAAATTATTAGCTACTCAGTTCCCTTGCTTCCTAACACCTCTTTCTCTGTCCCACCCAGGCCTGTGAACTCTCAACTTCTCTTTCCCTTTGGGTGCTTCATCTCTAGATGCTCCTGTTCTTCCTTTCTTAAAAATCCTACTCTTTCTTCAACCTGGTTCAGATCTCACCTTACCCTTGAAGCCCATTTTGACTCTTGGAGTGCTTATGGATCTCCATATCCCTGAGCTCCTGTGATTCTTAATAGTTTAGAATTTATCAAATTTCACAAAATCTACGAAGCCATCAACTTTATAATGCAACCACTAATTTACATACCATTAGAGAAACTCTTCTAATAAAACTGGCACTCACAGAATGTAAGACTCATCCTTATTCTGGAAAGAATAAGCTGTGAAAAAGTTTGTCTTAGAATCAACGAACTATGGCAATTGTTTAGTACTACATATTATTCATAATTATGATGGACATTACTACTGTCTTATAACTGTTTGTTTATTTTCTGATTCCTCCACTAGAATGTATACTTCATGAGAACAGATTTCATGCCTGGCTGATTCACTGTTGTATCCCTAACCATCCAGCACACTGTCTGGTCCTCAATAAATGACTGAATACATGGACTTCTAAAATGCATGGGAAGTTCTTCAAAGGCAGGGATTATGTATTACACACATGTTATTTTTAAACTTGACATGTAATGAACATAAAGTGTACTAATCTTAAATGTAGAGACTAAAGTCTTTTTAACATATCTATATATCTGCATTATCATGGCCAAAATTAATAGATAGAGCATTTTCCTATAGTACTTTCCCCAGTGCTGAGGAAGTAGGAGATATGTGTCAGTATTTATCTATACTCATTGATTCATTAAATGGTCTCCAGCTACCCTTTTATAGTTCAGGGTCAGTTCACTCCTATTTTCTCTCATTAAATGGTTCTCAAACTCTAGCTTGCATCAGAATTACCTACAAGGCTTGTAGAAACACAGATTACTGGGCCCCACACCCAGACTTTCTGAGAGTTTGAGAATCTGCTTTTCCAACAAGTTAGTGTTGATATGGCTCTAGACAGGTAAGGAGGGAGGATCTTCCTAAGGGTAATAAATGTCTCCCAATGTCTGAGTATTAAATATCTGGTCAGGGGTTCTTCACCTTTCTTTGCAACAGATGGCCTGGGCAGTGTGGTGATGGCCCTGTATTCCTCAGAAAATATTTCTAAATGGAATAAAATAAAATACCTAGGACTATAAAGAAAACTAATGATATAAAAATGGATTGTTCAAATTATTTTTAAAATATTTTAAAAAATGTAATATTTACAGTATTTACAACAAGTCATCTGCATTGTGATATGAAACATTTGGGGTTTCCATTGGTGGTAAACTCACACTCCTACTGATAACACTGCTATGATTGTTGCTTATGTTTACAATTAAAAGAGAGGATAAATTACAGATAGAAGTTAGTGAAAATAAAGACCCTAGGTTAGGAATCCTCACCCTGGTGCCATCTCAAATGAGATGCTCTACCTTTGGCACTGGGTGAAGTTCCAAAGAATTCAAGTCTGTTCATTCAAGTCTGTTACTGATTAAATGCCTCCTATGTGGAGACACTGTGATTGATTCAGAAAGGACTAAGATGCTTTCTCTTCCCTTATTCACAAACATTTGATTTTAGTGAGGTAAAACTGAAATATAAACTGATAATTAAAGTGCAGTGTGATGGGCCACCTGGGTGGCTATGTCAGTTAAGGGCGTGACTCTTGATTTTGGCTCATGTCATGATATCATGGCTCGTGAGTTCCAGCCCAGTATGGCACTCTACACAGACAGTACAGAGCCTGCTTGAGATTCATTCTCTCTCTCCTTCCTTCTCTGCCCCTCCCCTGTTCACACAATCTCTCTCTCAAAATAAGTAAATAAACTTAAAAAAAGTGGAGTTTAACATGAGTATGCACAAAGCACATAAGTAAAGAATGGAATGATATATGCATGTGTATGAGAAATGGAGGTAAGATCTCTGTTAATTAGAACTCAGTTGGATGGAAGTGACGGTATTAGACTATCACAGTGCTGGTCCCCACTGAAACATGCTTCCAGATCTTAGGCTCCCCCATGTTGACTCTGAACTTGGCCCCAAAACTTGCCTTGGCCAAAAGACCGTTAGCCAGCTTGACACAAATATTCACACATTGGGGCTTGCCTCTTGTAATGCTTGGGCTTCAGCTGCTGTGTAAGAACTTTAGGCTTAGATTACTGAATGAGGAGAGGCCCTGTGGGGGGTGGCCCTGTAGAATGAGCAGCCATCTTCCGTGTTCCAGCCTCAGCTGAATACTCGGCTGAATGCAGCAGCGTACAAAACCCGCATCATTGAGTGAGGAACAACAGAACCACCCAACCCACAGAATCATGAAAAATAAGAATTTGTTGCTTTAACCACTGTTTTAGAGTGATTTGCTGCATACCGAAAGATAACTGAAATAGTTGTTTTTATTTCTGTACCACTTTTCCTCTTCCGTTTTGCTTTTTTAAGAAAATTTTTCTTTTTAGTGTTTTTTTTTTTTTTGAGAGAGAGAGAGAGAGAGAGAGAGAGAGAGAGATAGACTGTGAGTGGGGGAGGTAAAGAGAGAGAGGGAGACACAGAATCTGAAGCAGGCTCCAGGTTCCAAGCTGTCAGCACAGAGCCTGATGCTGGGCTCAAACCTATAAGATGTGAGATCATGACCTGAGCTGAAGTTGGCTGCCTAACCCACTGAGCCACCCAGGTGCCCCTCCATTTGGCTTTTAAAGATTCAGAGGGCAGGGCGCCTAGGTGGCTCAGTTGGTTAAGCTGTTAAGCATCTGACTTCTGCCCAGGTCATGATCTCATGGTTCGTGTGTTCAGGCCCCCCACTGGGGTCTGTGCTGACAGCTCAGAGCCTGGAGCCTGCTTCAGAGTCTGTATTTTCTTTCCTCTCTCCCTGTCCCTTCCCAGCTCATGCTCTGTCTGTATCTCTAAAAAATAAATAACTGTTAAAAAAATTAAAAATAAACTATGCAGAGGGAAAATTGCCCTGTAAAATAAGCCACTGTAGAGATTCTCTGCAAATAAACACAATTTCCAGAGAAGCTTCTAGTACACTTAAGTCTTTTAAGATCTGTGGCTAGAAAACTGATATAATTATGACTCTAGTAAATTGAAATTCTGCTTTGCATTGAATGATTACTTTAAAAATCATAAAGTCCTAAAACCTGAAATTTTGAGCTGCAAGAGATCTTGGAATCTATGCAGTCTAACCTCACAACTTTATTTTTAAAATTTCTTTATCATTTTTTAGTAATCTCTACATCCAGTGTGGGGCTTGAACTCATGACCCTGAGATCAAGAGTTGCATGCTCTTCTGACTGAGCCAGCCAGGTGCCCCTAACTTCTTAAGTTTAGAGGTAAGGACACCAAGTCCTAAGAGGTTAAAGCCACAGAGCATTTTGTTAGTTGGGTCCAGAAGGGAAGCCACATATTCTGACTTCTACTACAGTGTCTTTTAATAAATTATAAATAGCAATTAGTAGATTATCATTTCCATTATTTTATTTTTGCAATAGACAAAGTGGATATTTTTATCCTTTCTATTTTTAGATGAGTTAGATCTAAAAAGACCAGCTCATTTCACATAACTCATAAAAACAGGACAAGATTCTGGGTCTTATGTTCCCTGGGCGAGGGCTTTTTCATTATATCATGCTACCTGACATGTTCAGTATTAAAAACCAGGAAATAAACCAATATATTTTTGAAAGAGCATCAGCATCAGACACTTATCTGGTTCATCTCTGAATTTCTCATAGTCGTATATTATGTACACAATGTGTCATTCAATAAATATTTGTAATATGAAATGAATACATGAATGAATAACTGAATAAACAAAGGATAGAACAAGATTATGGTTTATTTTTACCAGACATTTCATTCTTGAAGTGTATGATTAATCAAGATTCCTCTGTACTTGAAAAGGAATAGGGGATAAAAATGCCCATCAGTAGTAATGACAACATTTTGTGATTATTGTGCTTTGAAAGCAAAGTAACGAACATAAAGGCAAGTTCTATCAATGTGTCTCCTATTCTGTATGTTATAACTCAGAAGTAATATGCTCCTTCTTTCAAGGGGGAAGCTGAGGTAGAGAAAGTGACCCAGGCAACTTTGAGCAGCTTTGTCCAGTAGAATAATGAAAGCCACATATTTAACTTAAAATTTTCTAGTAGCCACAATGAAAAAAGTAAAAAGAAACAGATGAAACTAATTAAAATTTTTTAAATGTTTATTTATTTTTGAGTCAAGAGGGCATGAGCTTGGGAGGGCTGAGAGAGAGGGAGACAAGAGAATCTGAAGCAGGCTCCAAGCTGTCAGCACAAAGCCCAATGTATGGCTTGAACCCAAGAAGTGAGATAATGATCTGAGCCGAAGTTGGATGCTCAACTATCCAGCTTCCCCCAGATGAAACTAATTTTGATAATATACTGTACTTAATTCAGTATATCTAAAATAATATCTTTCCACATGTAATAAATACAAAAATTGTTGATGAGATATTTTACTTCTTTTTTTTTTTAAGTGGGCGTTTTACACTCAGAGTATATATCATCCAGACTAGCCACATTTCTTTTAAGCATTGCTTTCAATATTTTTTTTTTTTTTTTTGAGAAAACAAAACCGCGTGCATGTACCTACAGGGGACAGGCATAAGGAGAGGCAGAGAGAAAATCTTAGGCAGGTTCCACGCCCAGCACAGCGCCTGATGTGCAGCTCAGTCTCATGATGGTGAGATTGTGACCTGAGCCCAGACCAAGAGTCAGATGCTTAACTGACTGAGCTACCCAGGCACCCCTATTTTAGCCACATTTCTAGTGCTCAATAGCCACATATGGCTAGTGGCTACCATTTTGGACAGCACAGGTCTAGTCACATAGGACATAACAATTCTGTAGAGAGAAGGCAATTACAGTAATTACATCACAGAGGAAGTAGAGTTTGAAGGAATACTTGATATTATCCTGCTTTAGTCCAACTGCATAACCCAGATCACTGCAACTTGAAGGGAGAGTCTACTACCTCCTAGGAAGTCAGCTGCATAGTTTTGTCAGCCTTTTAGGAAGATGTTTGGTTGTGTGGCCATGGGCAAGTAACCTAGCCTTCATATAACTCAGTTTCTCATATGTTATCCATATGAGAATCCATATCATATCCATTACATGAAATAATAGGAAAAAGCATTTAGTCAATACTGGCAAGTAGGAGGCAGTGGGTTAATAGGAGCACTCGTACTTTACTAGGATCTTACCTTATCACATAAGCCTCAACCCCATTTTGGATTATTTATTATTTTTTTATTTTAATGTTTATTTCTTTTTGAGAGAGAAAGAGACAGAATGTGAGCAGGGGATGGGCAGAGAGAGAGTGAGACACAGAATCTGAAGCAGGCTCCAGGCTCTGAGCTGTCAGCACAGAGCCTGACACGGGGTGCGAACCCATGAACCATGAGATCATGACCTGAGCTGAAGTTGGGCGCTTAACTGACTGAGCCATCCAGGCACCCCAACCCATTTTGGATTTTTAAAAAAAGGTTGGTAGGACTCCCT